CCTGCAAATCATTGCTTTTGATCCTGTTCTTGTTCCAATCTCTGTTAAAGCTGTTTACTTCTGCTGTCAGGTACCTCAGCAGGAAAAGCAGCAGCGCTCTGCATGGAACAAAAGGTTTATCACTGCTAATAACCTGTCAAGTGTCAATTTAATATTATAAAATGATACTTTTTTTCTCTCAGTATGTTTTTAGAAAAAGGCTAGGATATTGCAAAAATATTGTTAGCATTGTGAGATTAAGCACTTGGAAGTTAAATGTAAGATTTTGTCTCCTATGTAATCTCAATTCAGATGCTTACTGCATATTCATCTTGAGTCTGTCTTAGCTGCAAGATAGCAGTATGCTGTTCTCCCATGTATAATTCAGCACACTGGCGGGATGGCATTTAGTTAGCAAACAGCTGTTCATTTTTTGTTGTTGTTGTTGTTTCAGCCTTTTGCAGTGTGCAGTTCCATGCTTTATTTACTGCACACTCTTCAATCCTTCTGTGAGCTCAGAATTATTCACTCACTTCTGGGATTTTGAGTATCATTCATCATTACTCAGTATTTAAGTGCTTCACATTTATTAAGAGTTTTCACAACATCCCTGTGAGATTAAAGGATAGTATTCATTGTCTCACTGGTACAGATGGGGACAGACAATTTAAGATAAAAACATAGACTTGTCCCTGAGGCACTTTGCATATGATTTCACAAAATACTCTTGCTTTTTATAGCATTTTACACTTTCAAAGCAAACTGCCACTCTCCTCAGTAGGGAATTCTAAGCATTTTTATGAAATTTGTGACAGATATTTAAAATGAGGACCTTTTTTCTGTCCATCTGTGATAAATAAATATTTAAAATATATCATTCAGCACTACAAAGGAACTTTTGACAGTGTTAGGAAAATATTCTGATTTGCCAGTTCAAGATATCTTAGCAAATTTTCCTTTTAAAAAGCTGCTTCTCCGTTATTACAAAAGCTCACTTTCTAAAAATATACTTTCCTTAAACAGATACATATTTATCTCCAAACACTTTATCTCAAGTTCTCACCAAAAAAGGTGGCAATTATTTATCTATTTATTCATTTGCTTGTTTATTTACAGATAGATAAACACAAAGACAACATTAAATTGTATCTGTAGGAGAATTTTAATTCCTGAATTTCAGGATTTCAGTGTCAATTCAGCTGCTTAAAGTGTTAATTTAGGATTATTTCATTTTATTTTGTACATGTGATATTTATTCACATTTTACATTTATATAGAGAGAAAATTGCAATTATTTTAGCTAGAAACAAAGGAGACCAGATTTAAGCTTGAGAAGCTCACTTGTATTATGGATGAGTTTGTGCTATTTAATCTATGAAAGATTTCAAGGTTAAAAGGCAAATTCAACTTCTTAAAAGTCAGTCACGGGATATTTCTGCATGAATTCACTTCATGAATTTCAACATACAGGCTGTTGTGTTTTTTTGTTGTTGTTGTTTTTTCCAGTGAACACACCTGACTGCATAGAGAAAGACGACAGCATTGCAGTAACCGGTGGAAGAATATGGGGCCATCACAACTTCTGAATCACAGAATCATAGGTGCTGAAAGGGACCTCAGTTGACCACCTAGTCCAAGCCCCTGCAAAAGCAGGTTCCCTAGGATTGCTCACACAGGAAAGCATCCAGGCAGGTTTGGATTATTTCCAATGAAGGATGCTCCACAACCTCTTTGGGCAGCCTCTTCCAGGTCTCTGCCATTCTCAAAGTAAAGCAGCAAATGCACAGTAATTCTCAGTCAATAAGGAAAAGACAAGGTTAATAAGAAAAGGTTCAACAAGGCCAAGAGTAGGGTGCTGCACTTGGGTCAGACCAATCCCAAATATGTCCACAGACTGGGAAAAGAACTTACTGAGAGCAGCCCTGAAAGAAGAACTTGGGGCCCATCCTACAGTATCCTGGGCTGCATCAAAAGAGAAGCGGCCAAGACAGAGAGGGAGGGGATTGTTCCCTTACACTCCACTCTCATGAGGTCCCATCTGAAGTACTGCATCCAGAGCTGGGGCTCTTAGTATAAGAAAGCTGTAGAACTGTTAGAACAGATCTGGGGGAGAGCCATGAAGATAATCAGAGAACTGGGCACTTTTTAATATGAAGAAAGGTTGAGGGAGTTGGTCTTGTTTAGCTTGGAGAAGATAAGGCTTTCGGAAGAACACATTGCAGCCTTCCAGTATTTAAAGGGAGATAAGAAAAAGGAGGCAAACTGCCTTTTTATGTGGGTAGATATAGGACAAGGTGTGATGGCTTCAAACAAAGAGAAGATTTAGATTAGATATTAGGAGGAAATTTCTCAGAGTGTGATGAGGCACTGGAATATGTTGCCTTCAGATGTTGTGGATGCTCCATCATTGGAGATATTCAAGGCCAAGTTAGATGGGGGCCCTAGCAGCCTGATCTAGCTATCAGCAAGTCTTCCCATCGTAAGGGTTTGGAACTGGATTTTCTTTAAGGTCTCTTCCAACCAAACTCATACTATGATTTTATGATTAATACTGTATGTGAACTTACTAGAAAATTACACAAGATGTTTCTTTTCCCTTCACTGATGATGATTATTAAAACCTTTGAAGTTAGATTATTTGCTGTGTGATCCAATGGCTGACTGAAGAACTTGGCATTAGCAATCTACATAGTACGCAATATTTCAGTTCCCCATACCTAAACAAAATAGTGCACACCAAGCAGAATCTGAAAGTGTTTTAATTCTGTTCAAGTTGTTTCCCCCATTCTGTTAGTCAAGACAGAGAGCACTGTGTTTGCAAGCTTTTCAAAAATCACTGGTTATAGAAATTTAGAATGTAAAACAACATAAACTTTAGTCCCTAGAGGGTTTAGGCTTTGTTTTCATCTATAAACTTACTAGGCTGAACTAGCACTTAGGCATTAATTTGCCTAGAATACAATGAGATATTTTCTCTGTAGCATTATGAGCACAGAAAAAAAAATCAACCATAGACAGGATAACATAAAACAAATGAGAGGTAGAATGAGGAGTCACAAGAGGAGAATCCAGCACTGCAGAAGCAAATTACTTCCCTCACAAAAAACTTTAATTTTCAGAATACAGAAAGCTTGTGTAAGAGGAAGATGTTGGTCTTTAAATTCATTTACTTTTTAATAATCATATTTTAGGGGAAGAAGTTTGAATTTTTATTTTTCAAGATGAGAAATTGGGGTGGAAATATAGTCCACTTTCTAGAGTTTTAATATCCTTGTTGGTGTCTCAGATGTCTTTGATTCTTTCACTTGTATCTTTTTATGCCTGCTAAGACATGCTTTGACAGACATCCCTAAATTGTGTGTAATTCAGTATATAATAGTATTAATTAGGAAGCTTAGTGTCATGTGCTTTTGTTTTCCAAACAAAAAAATAAACAATCAAAAAAAAAGCAAACCAAACAAGTACAAGAAACAAACTGAAGGAAATGAGTTTTCAGATAGTTATAATTATATATAATGGCAAAGAGATTGATATGGGAAATATACACTTAACATCAAAGCCTTTTTCTTTTTTTTTTTTTTTTGAACTTTTTTATCCAATTATTCATGCAATATTAACTCAATATTTTATTAATAAAATAAACATTTTGTACTTAAATTATCTTCTGTTGATTTTTTATTTTCCTTCATTTATCTCATTTCTAATAAAAGAAGTGCATCATCAAATTCACTGACTTCATAAGCTTACAAGCAGTTAACAGAAACTATTTTCCTCAATATCCAGCAATGAATGCTTATTTACACAGAAGAACCCTGCCTTACAAGAGTGTTTTGTATAGATGAAATGCTTCCAGGAAGTTTGCAAAATTGGAAAACTAGTTAGCAGAAAGTGGAGGGTTCTAGGTTACCTTAGATTTTATCTCATTTCTTATGCTATTATTGAATGTTATTTGAAAAGCCACTAAGGAAATGTCCTTTTCAGTATCTCTTTGTAATCTATGATTTGTTAGGACTTAAGACATGAAATTTTATTCTTGGAGAACTGAAGGAGAACGCATTCATTGTAAAACTAAATATCTTTTTGTCTTTCCCCTGAATTTCATCCTGTTGATAAATGAAAGCAGCTAACCAAAAGACATTTCAGGAACTCCACATAACAAGTAATTTAAGGAATTTATCTTGAGAAATTGGAATACATGCTTACATTTGGAAAAAGAGAAGAAACTGATAATAAATAGTCCAAAAAGAAACAGAGTGGATAGAAAATAATTTTTCAAATATAGAAAAATAAATGGGATTGTCCAGTAGAAAAACAGGTTTACTAGTGTTACCAGAAGTTAATTGTAGCAGAGATTAAATGAGGGCATGCTAAAAAACACAGTATTACATTTTTCTTTATCTTTTCTCAGATTAGTACACATAGGAGGCAGTTGCTACAAATGCATTGCAGCAAGTGACTATATCATTGTACTTAAATATCAGAATGAAACAATTAAGGGTTCATACTGCATGTCTCTATATAAGTATTTTTATGGATAATGACTAGCCTCAATTATAGTCTCAGAGTAGTGTTGCATTACGATTATGTGATCTATTTCAAGTAAACATAGATCTACTACTGCAGTTACAGCAACCAGAAAACTACACATTCGGTGGAAGAAAGGTAATGGAGAAGTGGAGAAGGCCCATCAGCCTTGTTCCTACTGAAGCCCTTCTGCTTCCCAGCAAATCAGATGCCATCAACTTTTCTACAGCACAGCACGATGCAATTCCAGCAAGGTTTGATCATATCTCCCTAATCTCATCAAGTTGTAATCAAGTCTTCATACTCAGTATATATAAATAAGACCTCTTTTGTTGTTGGGTTTTTATGCTTGCACTCTTGTTAGCATAGGTAGGTCTCATTTACTCACATATCTACCCACCCACTTTGTGTCACTACTGTTGCCCAACTCTCTGGTTTCTACATCAGCACTCTTGAATTTGGGCTCTCTAAAACCGCCTGACATTACTCATGCTTACCTATGAGGAACTGTAGTTCATTTCACGCATTCAAATCTTTCTTCAGGTCTACAGCAGTGAGTACAGTTCTGTTTCTCTTAAGAAGGTGTAGTCTAAATAAATTACATATTTAGCATGTTATTTTTTTTTCCTCCTCAATTTCCTTCTGACACATTCTAGATCACTGCTTATCCAATTAATATTTATATTTATTTATATTTCCACCTGTGCCAAATTACAATTTAAATCAAATGGTATCTATTGTACTGTATACTCAGTATCACATTGTCTCCGAAAATAAAGAAGCATTTAATGAATCAATGTAGCCACCCTTAAAAAGGAGCACAAATTTAGATACATATTTCACAGAATCACAGAATTGTAGGGGTAGGAAGGGACCTCCAGAGATCCTCGAGTCCAACCCCCCTGCCAAAACAGGTTCCCTACAGCAGGTCGCACAGGTAGGCATCCAGGCAGGTCTTGAACATCTCCGGAGAAGGAGACTCCACCATCTCCCTGGGCAGCCTGTTCCAGTGCTCCGTCACCCTCACTGTAAAGAAGTTCTTGCGCACATTTGTGCGGAACTTCCTATGCTGCAGCTTATGTCCGTTTCCCCTTGTCCTGTCTCCACGTACCACTGAAAAAAGACTGGCCTCACCACTATGGCCCCCACACTTCAGATATTTATAATTAAATATTAGATCCCCTCTCAGTCATCTTTTCTCAAGGCTGAACAGACCCAGTTCACTCAGCCTTTCCTCATAGGAGAGATGCTCCAGGCCCTTCACCATCTTTGTGGCCCTCAGTTGGACTCTTTTCAAGAGATCCCTGTCTTTTTTGTACTGAGGAGCCCAGAACTGGATGCAGTACTCCAGATGAGAACTTACCAGGGCAGAGTAAAGGGGGAGGATCACCTGCCTTGACCTGCTGGCCAGGCTGTTTTTAATGCGCCCTGGAATGCCATTGGCTTTTTTGGCCACGAGGGCACACTGCTGGCTCATGGACAAATATATATTTGTCATTGTCATTGTAGAAAACTGCAACAACAGCAGTTTTGAGTATATACAAACTATTTAAAGTGGTATACTTTGTTTTGCTTGCATAACACCACCAAATTTCAGGCAGATAAACTTTCATGGTTATTTACTCTTGCTAAATGCTGACATTATGCCCAGCAATTGAATTTGAAAATTCCCTATTGAAGGAAAAAATTGTTAGATCAACAATTTAATTGCATTAATAAAATGGCAGGATACTGCTGGTAGTTCAAGTTTATAATGTAATTAAATGTGTTTAAATCTAGCTAATAAATTTCTTGAAAAATCAGACCATAAATAACCATTGTGTCTTAAGACAAAGTCCCCAAAAATGTTGCTGCCATACACATTGTGCACTTTTGAGGAAATGATATTATTCTAGACAGATGAAGGATAAGATGGCAGCACGTTCAGAAATGATATAGTGATGTTTGCTGGTTTTATGGAATATGTAAAGCATGAAGTAGTTTTCTTCTGGTACTTCTTCAAAGACTTGAAGAAATTGAATTAAAATGTTCTATTCTCTATAGTTTACCTTCATAAGTGCCATGGAGAAACGATGAGTTGCCTTTTCTTTCTAGTATCTATATCCCTACCTTCAAGTACCTGTGAGATAAATTGTTCAACTTGTTAATTTTTTTAAAAATATTTTAAACATTCAGTATGAAAAATATCACAGAAGTCACAGATATCTTTTTCTAATGCAGTATTTCATTAGAGCATTTATATTAATGGCAGCATCAGATCACTAGAGTGAATACAGAAGACAAATATATACTCCTAACCTCTTAAGAGTGCTTCAAATTCAGCCTCAAAAAGACTATAACTGTCATGTTAATTACCTAGCTGTATGAAAACTGGGTTATCTTTTGCCTCTGGCATTTTTAAGTTCATTCATTTTCTTATTTGTCATTCTCTTATGTCTTCTTTTTATTGAGAAACTCTAAATATAGTAGGATCATAAAACCTCAGCCCAACAACGAGGTGAATAAGGAGGAACATTCTCTGAAATGGGACTGAATACTTCGAATTCCATATATTCACTGTTCACTCATTTCATTCTTTTCCTTCTTGCAGCTACATATGACTACTTCAAGAAATGACAGAACCTACTGAGACCCGATACTTCTGAACTGATAAAAAGGCAGGGATTATAATAATAAGTTATTAAATATATGTTTCACATTCATTGTTAAAAAATCATTATTTGACATATGGCTGTATCAGATTTAAATGATCTAAAATCCAAAGATTCAGTCTGCCAGTAGAACTATGTAAAAAATAATGTTATTCACCACCACTTTGCCCTTTTCTAGTAGCCTATGCAACTATCCAAGTTGAGAGTGAATCAGATTTTATTTTAATTTAGATTTATTTTAATGAGCACCTTGAAGCCATTTCACATTCATGTCAGTTACTGTACGAAAACACTGCAGAAAAGAACATCCCACAGAATTAAGTGTTTTTATTCTTTGGGATTTTCCCAATAAGAAAGATTTTAAACTCCTTCCTTCAACTCAATTTCCCTGCAACCACTAGTGAGAAATGTAGGAATTAGATGACTTGCTGAGGAGCTTGTGGAGAATACGTCAAGTTTCGTATAATCAATGAATAAAAAGATGCTATAATTATGAAATAAACAAGAGAGTTTGGCAAAGCAGATTATAATAACAAAAAGAAAATAGAATGCTCACATGCATCCTAGGCTCACTACAGAACTCCAGAGGAGGGATCTCCAAAGAAATCCTTCCTCACTCCTAGTCAGCTCTTAAATGGGTCTAGGAGAGATGCAGCCAGGCTCCACCCCTTCCGGCAGCACAGCTGAATTGCCTTCACTGTGCTCCCGTGGCTGACCCATTGCTCACCTCAGGTGATCAATCAGAGGTTCAGGCTATGATTCAACAGTTCCTACACAAGCTTCAACACTGAAGACTTCATATGCTGATAAAATAGCACCTAATGTCTCCTACTTGGTAACTATGACCCACATGCTGAGATGCATACGTACTGTATGTGTACTGCTGGTCAGAATATTGGAGGTTGTTTTTAGAATAAACAAACCTGATGGATGTGCTTCTGCATCCAGAGTAGTGTGTGACCTGGAAGGCACATAAAAATTGTACCTGCGAGTGAACTCATTATCTTAATGCTTGGATAGCTCTGAGTGTGCTCTTCTGGGCAGCCTCAGGACACAAGCATGCTAGCAGAGGGAAAAAGGGTATGGATTTGCATAGCAGCAGAGCCTGCTTTTTGCCCCTTGACAGCAAGACAGGCAGCTGTGAGATGAAACTGCAATGAAACATTTTCAGCATCTTCCATGAAATCAACATCCAAATTATGCCAAAATTATTTCTGTAATTAATAATTCATGTCACCGATTTGTACAGTTACCAGTACCCTGGCAAATTCTACTACTTGTGCTGACAAATGGAAAATATACTTGTCACTTTTAGAAATAATATTCAGAATTATTTTTAAGCTTTGCATATGAATAAGTTGTAGGAAATGGCAAGGATGCATTGCTTTAACAGATGGTTTTGTTCACTTCTTTTAATACTTCGATTACACGTAGTTTAGATCTGGCCATGCATGGTAATAACAGCTGGTTTCTCAGCTGTAGATTTAGCCATTGAAATACAGCATACATGTTCAAGGGAGGTTTCAGAGTTAATAAATTAATAAGCAGGTGAGAACAAACACCAGATAAACAAAAGACATAAACTTCAGTATTATGTCCCTAGACAATCTACCAAGCAACAACATGTCCTCTATTAAGCTGCAATTATTGATTTTCAGTATTATAAGGTTAAATCTGTTCTCTGAAAGATCTCTCAATTAAATGACTTTCAAAGAGATGTGCATCCTGATTGAGATGTATTTGAATTTCTTTTCCCCATAATTGTAAAAGCTTAGCTGCAGCTCAGGATTGAGATCAATTCACACACACTTAATTCTCTCTGTTGATGACAGAACCAACTGCTTTCACTCTGTGAATTAATTATTTCTTTATTCTATTTTTGTGCTTCACAAGCACCTTGGTACATAAATTAAAGCAATAGCAAATAGATCACGAGAAACACTGTTCAATTCATGCTATATTTTATAATGCTGTAAGCATTGGCAAAAAGTAACAGTAATTTTACAGTGAAAGTATGGAGAATAAAAGAATGAGCTTCAATATTCCATGCCTTTTGTAGGTACTATAGAACCTAAAGCATGTGAGGTACAACACTAATTACCACTGAGATGAAGAGTCTGTACACTAAGGATGATATTTTAGTCCCATGGTAATTGAAAGGGCTATTCATTGTTTAGGTTTCATGGGGGTTAGAAAGCTTGGGAACCCCAGAAGAGACATGGGATTTTACTAATCCCTTTCCACGCTCAAGACAAAACTGTGTACTGTTCCAGTGCCACAGGTTGCAAAACTTAACTGCATGTCTCCCCATTACATGGGGAGCATGTAATTTAACCAAGCTGTAAAAAGGAAATGATTGGAAGTTATGGAGTTGATACCTCCAGAAGTAAAGCTGTTTAGTAGCAGGAATTCCCACTGGTGAATCAAGGAAATTTAGAATATGTCATTTTAGTCCAAAAAGATATTTCTTCTCAATCTATTGGTTTAACAAACATATAAACATATAAATTTAAGAAAGTTAATAATTCTAAATTTGTTACTAGACATAAAATTATAGTTCTGTTTATTTTCTTGTTTTCTATTGAGATCATGGCATTATTGGTGAAGAGGCTAAGTTGGTATTTAGTTCAAATGGATTTGAAATAAATAATTTATGAGTAAGTATTTTACTTATTCATCTACCTAACTATTTAGACCTAAATAATGAAAAAAAAAAACCCAAACATTTTAATAGTTATAATTCACATAAAGGATTATTCAATTTTTATGTCAGTTGAATTTAAAATGAAAAATGAATTTAATTTATGAGAGAAACAAAAATAGTTGCCATGGTTTCCCTATTTTTAATACTTAATGGAAGATAATTTGTTGGTATTTCCAAAGGTATGTGGCATAGTTGTAACAGTACTGATGATGTTTCAATGACCCACTGGTGGTT